CATCCATCTATGGATTCCATCATCCATCATCCATCCATCCATCCATCATCCATCATCCATCCATCCATCCATCCATCCATCCATCATTCATCCATCCATCCATCCATCCATCCATCCATCCATCCATCCATCATCCATCATCCATCCATCCATCAATCCATCCATCATCCATCCATCCATCCATCCATCTATCCATCCATCCATCCATCCATCATCCATCCATCATCCATCCATCCATCCATCCATCATCCATCCATCATCCATCCATCCATCCATCCATCCATCCATCCATCCATCATCCATCCATCCATCCATCCATCCATCATCCATCCATCCATCCATCCATCCATCCATCATCCATCCATCCATCCATCCATCCCCATGTCCATCCCTGTCTCTGCAGGTCGTGTCCCAGATTGACCGCCTGACGTCGGACTTTGCTCTGGACCTGGAGCCAGACGCTTGGACTCCAGCTACGGCCAGCAGCACGTCCAGCAGCGACCGGGGCGGCGCCAGCCTCGAGTTGGGCCCGCTGGACTTCGCCGCTTCCGACATCCTCTCGGACAGTTGGGAATTCTGCTCCTTCCTGGACGCCTCCACGCCCTCGGACCCCGGCGATTGTCCGGAGCCTCTGCGGCCGCCGCCGGCCCGGCTGATGAACGGGGGGGTGCCCATGGCCAACGGCCCCCGTGGGGGCGGGGGAACCCCGGATTCCTCCAGTGAGGAATGTTTCGGGAGCACCGCCATTCCCAAAATCCCGGCGCAGCGGCCGGCAGGCACGCGGGAGCGCGTCCGCTTCAGCGACAAGGTGCTCTACCACGCCCTGTGCTGCGATGACGACGGAGACGCCGACGTTCCCGACGTTCCCGACGATCCCAGCAGGAAGGGGGCTCGGGAGCAGCTCCCGAGGAATGCGGGAGCCATCCCGATCCGCAGGGCCACGAGGAACAGCAGCACCCAGACCGTGGCTGATAAGAGCACGCAGACGTTGCTGCCGTACGTCCCGGCCAGGCAGAGAATTCCCAACAAAAACTGAGCCCGGATCTGGGTTTGGGAAGGGTTTGGGGGAGGGGGGAAAATCCCTGGGAAAGGGGTTGGAAAAGATCTATATATGAATATAAATATATATTTCAATAAATCCGTACTCCTCATAAAAGCCGAGTGAGAAGGTGGCAACGAATATCCCGATATCCCGATATCCCGACTGTTTCCAAGCTCAGGGAATTCTGAATGCCTTTTTTTGTTATGGATAGAAGGAGCTCAATAAATCATTGGGATGTGCCAGGAAGGGGCTGGCCAGCACTTCCAGAGGGTGGGAATGGGGCATGGTTTGTGGAAAATGCTGGAAGGGCTGGAAGGATTTGGAACAGGTAATTTCCCTTCCCTCGGATGTGTTATCCCTGTTTGGTTTAGGATAATTCAGTGGGATTGGATTTTTTCTGGCTGAGGAGAGTTGGGATGGCACCGGGATGGTTCCAGGATATCCCTGAGATGTCACCAGAATGTCACTGGAATGTCATTCCCAACTCCAAAAGGGACAGTGAGGGGACCACCAAAACCCCCCAGGAAAGAGGAGCTGGCCTTGGGAACTCCTCCCCCCTCAATTCCCAACATTTTCCACCGGAAATATCCCTGACCTGGAGTCATTCATCTGGAAACGCCGGAAAATCCCACTTTTCCTGAGCTCCCTAATCCCGCTTTTCTACATCCAAACGCTGATTTTTCAGGGAAAGAAACCTGGTCCGGCTCTGGAAAATTAAGGAATCTGGAGGTCCAAATGCACTTGGGTGTTTTTCCCTGTTTTTCCAAGGTATCCAAAGAGGTTGGAGCAGCAGCTGCTCCCAGGACAAAGTCCCGGTGTCCTTCCCACCGGCTCCTCTTCCCGCAGGGACAAGATTCAGGACATTCACATCCTGGAGCACTCCTGGCACCAGGCTTTTCCAAGGTTTTTCTGAGCCAAAAGTCTCCACCTCGGCTCCTGACTGTCAGTCCAGGTCGGAGAAGCTGCATTCCCAAGCTTTTCCAGGTGTCATCCCAGAGCCAGGACCGCGGGATGCGCAGAATTCCTCTCAGTCCAGCCCCGTTCTGAGCAGGGAAATGGAGCTTTCCCCATAAATTGTGCCGGATCCAATGGTTTTTTTATTTTTTGGGAATACTGGGGGGGACCAGCTGAGGAGGAGGAGGAAGAGGAGGAAGAAGAGAAGGAAGGAGGAAGAGGAGGAGGAGGAAGAGGAGGAAGAAGAGGAGGAAGAGGAGGAGGAAGAGAGGAGGGGTCGGAGGCTCCGAGGAGGAGGAAGAGAGGAGGGGTCGGAGGCTCCCTGTGCGGGAGCCATGGGGACCCTCCCTGCTCTTCCCCAGGTTTTCACCCTGCTCTCAGCCAAACCTTTCCTGGAGCGCTCCCTGTTGGGCTGGAGGGAGCAGGATTTGCCTCCCACATCCCGATCCCAGTCCGTAGTGACCATGGATGTCACCCCAGAGGGGACCAGGAATGCTGGTCCCAGGGCAGAAATGCCAGGACCAGCCATGGATGGTGTCCCCAGGGCATGCCCCAGAGCTATCCCGGGGTGGGAGATCACCGGCCACCACCTGGAAAAGCGGGATTCATCCCATGATCCTAAAATCCATCTCCCGGGGTTGGGATCGGGGCTAGGACTGCAAGCCAGTGCTGCCGGGAGCAGAGGCCTCTGGAAAAGCGCATTTGGGGCAGCTGGAGGCACCGGCTCAGGGATGGACAGAACCGATCCCAATCTCACCAGGAAGGAGATCTCGGCTCCATCCCGGCACCTCAGGAAGGACGGAGCCGGAGATAAAATCCTGGGATGGATCCACCGTCCGTCCCTCTCGATCCCAGATGCTTCTCCTGGGCTGGATTTTGGGAATGTTCTCCCATTGGATGCAGAGCTCAGGGAAGAACAATCAAAAATCATCTCCCACCGGGGTTCGGGAAGGGCCCCGGGAAGGTTTCCCTGGGAATTCCCACCCCATCTTGGCAGCGGGATTCAATTTGGGAGCCAGCTTGGGATTTTCCTGCAGGAATCCCGAGCCTCACACCATTCCTAGCCAAACCCCGGAGAGCACACGGAACCAGGAAGGTTCAACCGACATGATCCCAAATTTATTTGTCAAGGCACGAGAAACCCTCCCCAGATCCCGGATTTCAGAGCCGAGGAGCCCTCGGGGACTTCCCCTGCTCCGGAGCGGGAGCAGAAGCGGGATTGGGACACTCCAGCGGCACTTGGGGTGTGGCTGTGTCCCCCTCGGGGGGATCCCGGGATGGGCCCGATCCCACGGGAACAGCGAGTCCCCAGAGCAGGACCTCACCCGGCCAGCGGGTGCCTCCTTCCCAAAAAGCCCCGGGATCGTTCCCGGTGGGACAAATCCTGCCGGGATCCAGCGTTTAAGGGCAGAACGAGTCCAGAGGGACCCGCGGCGTCCGCACGGAGATCCGGTGGGAGATCCCGGCCCCGTCAATCGATCTCCTGCTCCCGGCCTGGGGGAGGGAAAGGGAATGGAGAGGAAAGACAGGAATAGGGAATTCCCAGGCTGGGAGTAATAAATCGATGGGTTAATTAATAGATAATTAATAAATTAATGAATGATTTGGCTCCACCCTCCCAGGGCTGCTCCAGACCCTGGGAATCGCAGTCAGGTGAGGTTTTATCCCTTCATCCCCATTCCCGGCTGGAAATTCCAGGAGGTGGTGTTGTTCCAGCCTCATTTCTGCTGGAAAAGTGGGATTTTTGGGTTGGGAAGCGAGGAAAAGAAGGTTCCTTCCCAAGGATATAAAAGGATTGGGAAGGGTTAATTCCCAGCAATAAAACTTGGGAATTCTAAAAAAGTAAATATTTAAAAAATAATAATATAAATTATTACAAATAATAAATAAATAAAATAAAGTAAATAATAATTAAAAAAAAATTAAAAAGTAAATTATAAAAAAAAGGATCTAAAAAGATTGGGAAGGGGGAATTCCCAATACTAAAATCAGCCAGCGGCAGAGGCCAAGCTCCGATCCCACGGTGAGGGAGGGAATGAGTGGAAAAATCATGATTTGGGGACAGGAAGGAGCTGGGATTGAGCAGGCTTGGAAAACTCTGGATCCTTTTCCAGGCTAGGATGGGAGGAGGGCTTGGGAGAAGAGGGAAAGGCACCAACAGGAGCTGCGGTGCCAATTCCCACGGAATTCCAGCTGGAATTCAGCATCAGGATGCTGCTGGGGGCTCCCTGGAATGGCAGGACCAACCCCAGCAATTCCCGTCATCCCAGCAAATCCATGGAAACAACCAAAAAACCCCAAATTCCTCCCAGGGACGAGTGCTGGGAGGTTTTTCTCGATCCCCAAGTGGCCGGGAAAAGGAGGGATGAGGATGCAGGAGCTGCTGGATGCTGGAAGAAACCGGCAGAGCCCAAACCGGGCCGGAAACGGGAGCTGGGAATCCGCAATTTGGGAAATGCCGATGGAAAACCCGGGGGAAAATCCACCCCAAAACCCAATGAATGCTTCCCGCACGGATTTTAGGGAATTATCCCAGATTTGCCAGAAACATCCACTCACCCTCTCTGCTCTCCGTGTTTTCCAGCAGCTGCAGAGCTGGGAAAAGGGAAAAACATCCCATGGTCAATCCCACCCCCTTCCCGAGGGTTAATCCCAGCCCCTTCGCAAAGGAAATGGCTCCAAGATCCCATTTTTGGGGGAATAAACCCTAAAACAGCGACACTCGCTTCCAATTTCCCTGCGGAATTCCAAGGGTTTGTGGATAAAGGGAACCCCTATCATGGACCTGCTGGATGCTGGAAAACTAAGGAATTGGGAGGTTTTATTATGGAGTTCTGTCGTTTTGTTAAGGGTTCAGGGGGTTTGATTTGGGAATTGGAGGTTTATTAAGGAATGGGGAGGTTTATCTGGGATCTGTCAGGTCAGGAATGTCGGAAAAATCGGGAATACAGAAGGGGCTGAGCACCTGGAGCCACCCCAAACCAGGATCGGGCACCCACCTGTCTTGGGCTCCTCCCCCTCCTCATCCCGCTCCTCCGGCCCTGGAAAACAATGACCCAGAGGTGGGAAGCTCCCACCAAACGCCGTTCCCGGGATTCTGTGGGTGCCTCCTCGGAGCATCCCTGTGATCCTGGGTTTTCCATGGATCAGGGCGGCACATTCCCAAAAATCCCAGTGGGAAAAGCCACAGCTCCGAGGGACGTCCGTGTTTTTAGCGCAGCTGCCACCTGGAGATGGATCCCTGGATTCCCCCAAAACCTTGGGATACCCTTCCCTCCCTCCAGCACCCACCAGGATCCCGGGAGTTTCCCACCCCCTGCCACCATTCCCAGTGGGAAGAATCGCTGTCCCTGCTTCCCAGGCTGGCGGGAAGGGGCCCTGCTCCCGGTTGAGCAAAATCCATGGAAAAAAGGTCATTTCCAAGAGTGGCACAGCCACTCCCGCAGCCGTTCTGGGAGCTTTTTAGGGAACAAATCCATAAAAACATGGAAAATGGCCCAAAAGGGAGAGGGGAAGGAGCCCGGAGCTGCTTCCAGAGGTGCTGGAGATGTCCTGGCCGCGGGAAGAGGGAAGCGGGGCCCAGCCCATCCATCCCTTTCCCAGGTTTTCCCCAGGTTTACCTGCGCGCTCCGCGTCCTCCCGGCAGCTCTCCCGGATTTTCTGGTGGCACACGAAGGCCAGGACGCCGAGCAGCAGCACCACGCACACGGCCAGGGCCACCGTCACCCACAGCGCCACCGCCGGGAATGCCAGGGGCTGGCCTTGCGGGAGCCACGGGAAAACACCCGGATCAGCGCCCGGAGTCAGCCCATCCCACATCCAGGGTGATCCCACATCCAGGGGGATCCCACATCCAGGGGGATCCCACAGCTGGGGTGATCCCACCTCCAGGATGGTTCAATATTTCAGGGTGGTCCCATCCCATATCCAAGGTGGTCCAGGGTGGCCGATCCCAAATCCAGGAAGACCCCACATCCAGGGTGACCTCACATCCAGGATGCTCCAGGGTGACCCAGCATTCAGGATGACCCCAACACCCAGGATGATCCAACATTGAGGGTGACACCACATCCAGGGTGACCCAGCACTCAGGATGATCCAGATGATCCAACGCCCAGGATGATCCAGGATGACCCCACATTCAGGGTGGCCAATCCCAAATCCAGGGTAACCCATCAGGGTGATCCCATCCCACACCCAGGATGATCCAACATTGAGGGTGATCCCATACCCAGGGTGATCCCATGCACTTCCAGGGTGACCCCACATCCAGGATGGATCACGAGCCAGCCAGGGCAATGTCACCACGGAGGACCTGAAGGTCACCGGTGCCAACCCTGCCCTCCCCCTGTCCCAGGCTGCTCCAGCCTGGCCTTGGGCACTTCCAGGGATCCAGGGGCAGCTCCAGCTGCTCTCAATTCCATCTCAGCCCCTCCCCACCCTCACAGCCAGGAATTCCTTCCCACTATCCCATCCATCCCTGCCCTCTGGCAGTGGGAAACCATTCCCCGTGTCTTGTCATTCCAATATTTTTTAAGCAGCTTTTCTCCACCTTTCTCCTCAGCTCCCTTCAGGCCCTGGAAAAGCCTGGTAGGGACCCCCAGATTCCAGAGGGAACCTAGGATACAGGACAGCAACCCCCAGGATGGCTTTGGGTGCCGGTGCCACCAGGGTCACCTCCCACAGACCCCAAGGGCGGCTCTGAGTGCAGATGCCACCAGGGTCACCTCCCCGAGGCTTCCAGGGTGCCAGCAGGGTCACCTCCCCCAGCTCCCCAGGGTCGCTTTGGGTGCCGGTGTCACCAGGGTCACCTCCCCGAGGTGGATTTAGTCCTGATGCCACCAGGGTCACCTCCCCCGGCCCCTGGCTCACCCGTGATGGTGACGGAAGCGTGGCCATGCTGCCGCAGCACGGCGTTGAGCACCAGGCAGGAGTAGGTGACGCTGGGCTCCACCAGCACACGCAGGACGCTGCGCACCTCAAAGAGCCCCTCCTCGTTGGCCACCTGCGAGGTGCTGACGTTGGCCGTCAGGTTGGCACCGTGGCCGTCCTGCCACAGCACGCTGGCCTCGGGGTAGCCGCGGGACGCGTGGCACGTCACCACGGCCACGTCGCCCGGCTTCAGGTCCTTGCTGGGCTCCAGGTGCACGCTGGGCTTGGAGTAGGGAGCTGCAGGCGGGGAGGACAACGGGGGGGCTGCGTGAGGATCGGGACGGGCTCTCCTCTCCTCTGAGGAATATTTTGGGGGTCCCCGATTCCACTGGGGGCTTTTCAGGAGCTCACCCGCCACCTGCAGCGTGACGGCGGCGCTGTTGTAGTCGCGCACGCGCACGAAGCAGGTGAAGCTGCCCTCGTCCGAGATCTCCACGCGCCGCAGCAGCAGGGACATGTTGCCCCGGGCCAGCTGGTCGTAGAAGAGCGAGGTGCGGTTGGCGTAGCCGCGGCCCTGGTCCTGCAGCCGGTCACGGCCCCCGGAGAAGCCGTGCACCAGGCGCTTGGTGTCCGTCAGCTGCCAGATGAGGCTCAGCTCGGCCACGCTGAAGTTGGCCTCAGGCAAGAAGGAGCAGCGCAGGGTGGCATCGTGGCCAAACAGGGCCACCACGGGCTCCTCCGGCACCTGGATCTCCATGGCACCTGCGGGAGGGCACCAGGACGCACTGGGACGCCTCCAGGAGCACTTCCTGAGATTTGCGCCTGGATGGCGTCCAAGAAATCCCAGGGATGTGCGTGGGAGGGACGCGTGGGCAGGTGGCATCTCAGGGGACATGCCACCCTGATGGAAGGGGGACAATCCCATATCCAGTACCAAACCAGGGGCACCTTCAGCTCCCAGGAGCTTTCAGAAACTTCCAGGAGTTTCCAGAAGCACCCAAAGGTGGATAACACCCAAGCAATGCCCATAGGATGGACACGTGGGCAGATGGCATCTCAGGGCTGTCCCTGGCCATGCCGCCCTGATGGAAGGGGGACATTCCCACATCCAGCACCAAACCAAGGATACCTTCAGCTTCCAGGAGCTTCCAGGAGCACCCAAAGGTGGATAACACCCAAGCAATGCCCATGGGAGGGACACGTGGGCAGGTGGCATCTCAGGGCAGTCACACTGGGAGCAATTCCAGCTGCCAGGAGCACCCAAGGCTGGATAACAGCCAAGGAAATCGAGGGATGCCCATGGAAGGGACATGCTTCCGGCTGCCAGGAGCTGCCAAGGGCACCCAAACCTGCCCTGGAGCCTGGAGTGGCCCCAGTGGGGCAGGACAGGGTGGCAGCGGTGGGGACACGGTCCCCAGGAGGACCCAGCCCTGGCCAGGCTGGCAGGCGCTAGGTGGCACCAGTGCTCCAGCATGGTGCCAACTGGAGTGGCACAGCACCATCCCAGCTCATCCCAGTGCCATGGCACCATTCCAGCTCATCCCATTGCCCTGGCACCATTCCAGCTCATCCCAGTCCCCTGCCGCCATTCCAGCTCATCCCAGTGCCCTGGCACCATCCCAGCTCTTCCCAGTGCCCTGGCACCATTCCAGCTCATCCCAGTGCCATCCCAGCCCCATCCCAGTACCACAGAACAATTCCAGTCCCTTCCCATGGCAAACCCCTGCCGTGTGGGGACGAGAGCAGGGACAGGACAGGGAATTTTCGGCAAGATCCCGAGCTGGGACGATGAGGAGCGTGGGAAGGAGCCCTGCCAGAAAAAGGGCACGGGGCAGCCGGCCTGGCTCCAGCCACATCCCGAACATCCCGGCTCCGGCCGGATCAAAATAAATGCCAGGAGCCAGTCCTGCCGCGGCACTGCCGGCGGCTCTCCTGGGAAGCGCAATCCGTCGGGATTGAGTCCTCCTGTGGCTGCAGCACCGGGGTGTCCTCTGCTTGGAGGTGCCACCGGAGCACGGATCCCGGAAAAACACCGGGATGGAGCTGGGGACACAGCTTTGTGGGGCTGCGGGTGGCACTGGGGACATCTCCTGAGCCCCACTCACCTGCCAGGCCGAGTGCCAGCATGAGCAGCGGGAAGAGCATCCTTGGCACCAGGAAAGTCGGGATGAGGAAGCGGGAGTGGGAATGGCGCCGAGAATCCTTGCGGGGAGGCTCTGCTCTGGGAAGCCTGAGCTGAGGGAAAACACAAGGAAATGCCTGGATGGTGCTGGGAAGGAGGGACACAGGGCAAGGGAAGCAGGCCGGGGATCCCTCACCAGCCATTCCTGGGATTCCCTCACCAGCCATTCCCAGGGATCCCTCACCAGCCATTCCCGGGGATCCCTCACCAGCCATTCCTGGGGATCCCTCACCAGCCATTCCCAGGGATCCCTCACCAGCCATTCCCAGGGATCCCTCATCAGCCATTCCCGGGGATCCCTCATCAGCCATTCCTGGGGATCCCTCACCAGCCATTCCTGGGGATCCCTCACCAGCCATTCCCGGGGATCCCTCACCAGGCATT